GACAAGAGTGGGTAGATGGCCCTTCATTTTTATTCCGGTCAGGGTGTTCATTTTCCATTTCTCAAGTGCTTAGCATTACATTAATGCCTTCAAGGAGGCCCTGCGTCTGGCCACCTCTCGGCAGTGGGAACAGCAGAGAGACTCCCACATAGTTAAGAATAGCTAAGGATGTCGCCCGTCTACTGCTGGCATTCCGTATGGATTCACTGAGCTCTAGCAGGGGGCACCAGCTCCTGCAGGGAACTGGAGAAACATCACCCTCTGCTCTCATCACTTTTAAACCAGTTTCTACCACCTCACTGTTTTCTAAGATGCTTTCCCCAGAGCAGACGCAAATCAGAAAAATGCTGGAGGAGTTTCACCTTTGAAAGTGAGTTTCTTCCCTGTAACTGCACACAGGAGATGGAGGGTCTTATTCACTCTGCTGTCTTCTCAAACACTCCATTTCTCAGCCCCAGCTTTATTCTAAATGTATTTAATAACTACATGAAAAAGTTAACCAAGAGTAAGACTAATTTGATTTTTGTTGCAGATGTGTTGAGTGGATTCCAAAACTCCTTACCTCCTTATCATCCCAATTCCAGCTGCCCCCAGACGGCTCTGTGATATGCAAGAGGAACTCTTTCGGAGAATACTTTAGCCCAGTCTGCTTGGCTGGTCCACCTATGTGGAACCTTCTAGAAGCCAGGTTTCCTTAGGAGAAGGTTGAGGTCTCCACTTACGTAGACAGCGGAGCTAATTCTGGGCTCTGGCCTGAGCTGGCAGCCTGGACCACCACCCCTGCCTGGCTGAGGGTGGCCTGGTCTCTGACTGCCAAGCGGACCATTGCAAAGAGGATGCGCGGTCACGGGACAGACAGAAGGAGACTCCCTGAGACACGGGCAGCAAGCTCTGGGCTTGGCCATGAGAGGGAGGAGAGTCATCTGGAGCCATCAGAACTTCCTCTGCTTCCATGCCTGCTAACCCCGCCACCAGTTCAACTGACAGTGCCGGTGGGGTCCCCCAGGTGACCGTGAACTGGCCTTCTAAGACCTGACCCCTGCCCTGGTTACCATCCTTCCCACCTACTTCCACTGCAGCCCCGAACCCCAAGCACAAGACCTTTTCCTGCTTTACACTCGGCCAAGATGACCTTCTGCGGGGCAGGCAGGTTCTCACTCGCAGTTGGGGGCCTCAGCAAGAAAAGGGGCATGCGTCCTGGGGAGAGGGCTCCTTTCTGTCAGCTCAGGGCAAACAGGCAAACCACACTGTGCCCGGCCAGCCATGTGCCAGAGCCTTACAGAGCACTGTGGGCTTGACCTCTCAGTCTAAGCGTTCCGTAGCTGAGATGAAGACCAAGGAGCTCATCTATGTGGCAGGGATGGGCTGTTGTGCTTCCGGCAGAAGCTGTCAGTGGGGCCCCTCCCCAATGCCTCCTTAGTCCTGGGGGCTCTGCCAAGCTCCTGCTGAGACCCCCTGTGGTCTTCTTAGAAAGTTTAAGGCGGCCACAGTGTCTGAGACATTCTCTGTTTGGGCGAAGACACCCTTTCTAAGCATGGGTGGTTTCAAACGGGTGAGGGAAAATGAGACAGATGACAGAGCCCCACTCCTGTCCCTGCAGCTCCCAGTGTGTCTCCGTGAGACCCTGGCTGACTCAGGGGAAAGGCTGACTACTAGCAAATCTCTATAAGCGAGACAGCAGCAGATAAATCAGCTGATCAAGTGAAATAGGCATAGACCCACCGCCCAACCCCACCCCACAGCGGAGAGAGCTTTTCCTAGATGCAGGTTTGCAGTGTGAGGAGAGAGTGCTGTTCCCAGGCCTGTGTGCATCATGCTGACATGAGTGAGGATGTCACATCACGAGGCACACAAAGCCCTCCTTGACAGAGCACACGGCCACGGGAGAAGTTGAGATCTGGAGTGACCCCCTCACTCTGCAATGTCGAGGGTGCCTCTGCTTTTAAGGATACGTGTGAACCACCCTCTGAGGTCTGGTGGTGGTCTGCCAATACATCCTTATTCCAACAGCTGCTCAAACAAGCCTAGGCTCTCTCTCCATTCAGGTGGGGCTGGGGTTAGACTAAACACAAAACGAGACATGCAGTGAAGCATCAGCCACCTCTCCATCCCTCTATGATACTGCACAGGTCCCAGCAGGCAAAGCCTAGATCTGATTCAAGCAGTGTGCTCCCAGCGTGAAGCTTCTCCGTCCACTTGCAGGTGTTCGCTCCTCTTGTAACACAGGAGGCGCCCCTGGGGCTCCCTGGACATTTCCCTCTTGCCCTCATGCTTGCCAGTTAAAGATGACACGGCCAGGAACCCACACTGCACCTCCGCCGTAGTGGCACCAGTCACTGTGCAGACCAGCAAGGCCTGTACGTCCCGTGGGACCTTGGCCGTCCTTCCTCTGTGATCCCAGGCCCAAGTCCTCACCCACCTTTCCTCAAGCCCATGGCCCTACACCCCGCCACTCCCTCTGACCACGGCCGCCCTTACCTCCCATCCCCAGCGCCCCCCATTCATTCCCTCATCTGCAAGTACCCCGGGCTTAGCTGCTCCACGCTCAGAAACCCACAAGGACCTGCTGAGTCCTCGCCCTGCGTGGGGTCTGCCCTCCCATGTGGACCAAGCTCCCTCGTTCTGCTCCTGTGCCGAACCTCTACTGTCGCAGGGATAGTGTGCTTTCAGGTGTGATCATGCAGCAACCAACAGACTCCCTCACCTATCCACGATTCATCGGCAAAGACCCACAACTGGGAGGGGAGTGCAGCAGCCAGGGAACCGCTCTGATTTGCTGGATCCCACGAAGCCTTGCTCATGGTAACACAACATCGCTGGAGAAGAAAGCCACAGCTTTCACAGTGAGAAGGCTCTAGTGCTCAAGGTCAAGTCTTCCGGATCCCTGCAACCCCCCAGGGGAGCCTGGCGGAAGCTGTGTGAGGATTCCACAGGGTCTTGGGGAACGTTTCCCAATCCCGCAGTGCGATGTGCAGCAGTGTGCCTGCCTTGGAGACATCGGAGAGTTTGCTTGTAGAAGCTCTCAAACAGTTTGTGGCATCGTCAAATGGACATGTAGTCATGTGCCGCATAGTCACATTTCTTTCAGCTACGAACCGACCGCACATACCATGGTGGTCCCGTCACATTATAATACCGAATTTTACCATACCCTCTCTACGCTGGGATGTGTTTAGACACACACATCCCCACCACTGTGTCACAACTGCCTCCGTGCAGTCAGCACCACACGGTCTGCAGCCTGGGAGCCACGGACTACGCCATGCAGCCTGGGCTTGTGGGAGTCCATGCCACCAGGCCCGTGTGAGCGTACCCTGTGATGTGCACTAAAGGATGTCAAACTGCCCGAGGATGCGTTTCCAGAATATACCCCTGTCGTTAAGCAGCACAGGGATGTATATGGTCTTTGTTCCAGATGATTCCTGACACAGAGCTTCCCAAACTCTTAGAATTTCCTGAGCAAGGACAAGTCCCTGACCATGCCTGAGGTTGCACAAAGGAAATGATTTCAGGACGCCTGAGTAGCTTCAGGGAGGGTGCTGGTCTCCAGAGACACCAACCGCGTGACCGGAGGGTTGCCACTTTCGGCCCTGCCCAACCCTCTGAGTCCTCTCACTTGGCCGATGATTTCATCAGTCATGCCTATGTAGTTACATCTCTGCTAAAATTCTAAAACAATGAGGTTCCGAGCGCTTCCAGGCTGGTGAACACTGTGGCACTGGGAGGGTGGCTCGGGGGAGGCCCAGAAGCTCAGTCAGGTCCATACCTTACCCTGAGCACTGCTTCCACTGGCTGTTCCTGAATGGTATCCTTGATAAGACAAATGTAATGCCAACTAAAGTGCTTCCTGAGTTCTGCGAGTTGTCCTAGCAAATCACCACTGAAGTGGAGAGGAAGTCATGGGAACCCCAAATCTGTGGTCAGCTGGGCAGATGTATAGGCAGCTGGGGGACCCCATTTGCAGCCAATGTCTAAAGCAGGGCAGCCTGAGGGACTGAGCCCCAGCCTGTGGGGTTTGACACTAACTCCCACTAATTAGCATCAGAATTGACTTAAATTATAAGGGTTGGAGAATGGGTGGTTGGAAAACAGCACAATATTAGTACAAGGAGGCCTTACCCCGAGGCACTCCCAGGGTGCAGAGGAGCTTTAGCTACAAATGGAAGGCTGGAGGCGCTGGGCGCCTGCCACCGACACTGACCATGGCATACAAGGCAGGGGTGCCAGTTTGTCCAGATTGGAACCAAGTTCACCCTAAAAATCAGAGAGGGTCAGGGGACAGCACAGCAGGCCCGGTCATCAGGGACATGCTCACTCACTGTGCAAGGCTGGTGGGGGCCCTGCGCTCCTTGGCTGGCTGCTTTCTGTACCTGGCTGGCACATTGAGCTGACACAAGTGGTTGCTATTTCTGTTCTTTAAATGAGCTGTTCCTCCCAGCTGTATACTGCACTCTCATCTTCAGGCTTTAAACTTAATTTTTACTGTAATAACCTTTTATTCTGCTTCCAAATGACTCCATTATAAAAGGGCATTTAAAAAAACCAAAGACTGTGGCTCCCTCGTGGAGGGTGTCTGGAGTGTGGCATACTCTGAGAGCAGGCAGCCACGCAGGGCGACAGAGAGAACAGCCACGTCTTTAATTAACAGCCATTCGGTTACGATTCTTCTTGGAGTGGAGGGAAAACAGATCTTTTGAAGTGTAAGGCATGCTACACTTTCTTCAGCCACTGCCTTTCGCTGATAGACATGCAACAGCATTACCATTTTAATACATAGGCACAAATAGATCAGAGCAGGATCGTTCACCACTTAAATGCTATGTTTTTCTTTCTGCAGAATGTGACCACAGTGCAGAATTATACCTGCCAGGAGCTGCAAGTTCATTTTTTTAAGGCACAGGATGCCTGAGAAACATGCAGTGTCTCTTTGGTGACATCGGACAAATGCCAGGACCAGACAACGCCATTGCTAGTGGCTCTTGGGCTTTGGGGTGTCTTACCAGGGGGATCCGGGCACTGGGGTGGAGGCCACTGGCCTGTTGCCTCTGGCTGTGCTGTCCTCTCCTTCCCCCAGCATCGGTGGAGGTTCCTTTCAACAGAAAGAGACAGGAGAGTGACTTTTAATTTTAAACACTCATCTTCAATTGTAAGCAAGGAAGGGAGGAATAAACAAATCTCCTGCAGGCAGGCTGCTTATAGCAGCCCCGAGATAATGACCTCAGCACAGCAGTGCCTGGGCTGGGAGGTTCTGCCGGGGACACAGAATCAATGCAGAGCAGACTGGGTAGAATCACCCGGACAAAGGCACCCCTCATTGTCCCAAGCTGTCTAAGCTGCCTGCTTTTCCAGAAGCAGAGATGGTCAGAGGCAGCCAAGAGAGGGCATCTGAGGTCTGATGTCTTTGGGACAGAAAATCTCACTGGCTTCCTCCCCAGAAATGAGCTGACCTGGCAGTGGGAGTCACTGTGCCATGAAAACAACAGCATTTAGTGGCAGAGAGCCTCAAAGCTGGGGCTGCCACATCCTGGTCCCGTTAAGGCAGGAGGAAGCAACAAACCCATATTCCTCAACAACGACTCTGCCACACAGAGTGCAGTTCCTTCCCAGGCTCCCGCCTTTCCTGACCATCCAGCTGGGGGCGGGGCTCATGGGGGCTGTTTTGCATCCTGGAGATGATTCTGATTCTGATGCTCGGTTCGTCCACATTTCCATTAAGAAATAAGAATGTTTGAAATGTCGGGCGCGGTGGCTCACGCCTGTAATCCCAGCACTTTGGGAGGCCGAGGTGGGCGGATCACGAGGGCAAGAGATCCAGATCATCCTGACCAACATGGTGAAACCCTGTCTTTACTAAAAATACAAAAATTAGCTGGGTGTGGTGTGCGCACCTGTAGTCCCAGCTGAGGTGGGAGAATCGCTTGAACCTGGGAGGCGGAGGTTGCAGTGAGCCGAGATCGTGCCACTGCACTCCAGCCTGGATGACAGAGTGAGACTCTGTCTCAAAAAAAAAAAAAAAAAAAAAAGAAAGAAGAAAGAAAGAAAATTTACCACCTAGAATAAAATGAAGATTTATGTCCTAAAATTAAAAAGAGAGAAAAATAAGCTATGGTTGGGACACTTGATCAGTATTCACTAGGAATAAAATTTGGAGAAAAATAAAAGTTGCTTGAGATTTAAAAATATGGTCCATCATAACTCTAACATAAACAGAGGCCCACAATTCAGATGAATTCCTTTAGCCATATTGATGTATGACAGACAGCAGATCTTACTGGGCAGAAAGAACCAAATTCTTGCCGGTAGAACCATATATCACAAAGAGAAATGAAAAAAAAAAAAATAAGGAGGTATCAGCACAATCTTCGAAGGCTGTAAGAAAGAAATGAATTCACATGAAGTATAATAAATTCTCGTGTGAGAAATTTTTTCTTTTTTCCTCTTCCAGCTGTTTCCATGGTTTTAATCTCAAACTTAGAATGCTCTGATAGATTATGTCCTCTCTCTGGGAAAATTAGGTGGGATTAAAAGATATCAACGCCTTATTCAAAGCAGCAATCTGGTTCTGAGCTGAGAATGTCAGGTGTAATTAGAATACTAGATTCATTAAAAAAATGGAAAATCATCCTAAAAGTTTAGAATCTCTGTTTCTACCGTTGTTGATGTTGGTACTTTATGAGGTAGTGGAGGTGGGAAGATGATTAACCATTCGACCAACCAAAACTAAATGAAGTCAATGCTCCAAAGTCCTCCTGGGGAGCCCCCAGGGCAACCTCAGCCATGCGCAGAAGGCTGGGGATGCTGTGGCAAAGCCCAGCACATGTGGGTCCCTGAGGGCTGCACTGGGCCAGGGCCCATCTGCACTATGTCAGCTGCTTTCAAACAGAGTGCTTAGGAAGGAAAGTGCTAAATTATGGAGGCACAGAAACATAAGATTAGAACAAAAATTAAAAGAATCTCGAGGGTCTATAAGAGACAATGGTGAGATAAAGCCCAAACGAGTAAGTCTGTCTAATGTGACAGTTTGGTAGAACCATGGAAAACAGAGTGAAGTTGTGTCTTGGTGACCGAGTTATCCAGAGTGAGTGGCCCATGTTGACAGACGCCAGCCCAGAAGGGAGGACAAGAAACACGGAGATTAAAGCACTTAGCCAGAAGCATCCTGCACGGTCTCCAGCGTGAGGGTGAACCCGGGAAGGGCATCTTCTCGAACATCACGCAAGGGATTACCAGGAAGAAAGGAGTGGTCTGTTTCATGTACGTTCATCCTGGCATTTTGGTATTTTACACATGATTTGTAAAGTATATTATAACATTATCCTTAAGTTTGTAAGTTTACGAATAAAATTTTTATAGATTTTCTAGTAGCAGGAAATACCTTTGTTTCTTGTGAGAAAATAAGGTCAGGATAACTAATTGGCATAACGGAGCATTCAGAAACACTTGTCTCAAAAAATATATATTAAGACTAGAGCTCATATTACCAATCCAATTAGAAAAACTGGGGGGGACTTCATTATGAAGTTAATTGAACAGTAGAAACTCACCAAAAAGTCTGTGAGTGGTAGATTACCTCAGCGAATTATTCAAGCAAATAGAGTAGGATGTAATTTGTGATGGGGACTAATGTTTAAATGTGGCAAGGCTGGGGTTCTCTACTGCTAATTACCGAGGTCTTCTCCATGAGATGCATGCTGGTTATGATTTCCTGTTGGCGATGAAAACGGCTAATCATGGTATAAAACTCTTGTCCCACGCTGAAGTCATAAAAGTGAATTAGACTCGAAGAACCACGTGATGGAGAAAGGAGTTATTTAAGGCACTGGAAAAGCTATCTGTGTAATTAACATGTAATTCTGGCCTGGATGTTAATCTGGAAAAATCGGAAAAGTCATACCTCAGAGGGCAAAAGTTTAATTTGCACTAACATGTGTGATCAATTTTCACCACTGAACACCCGCACCGATGACTGAGGAGGAGACGTGAACAACAGGGCGACTACATCCTGGAAGAACTCAGAGGAGACACAGAAGCAAAACCAGGGAGAACGGAAAGCTCGCAGCGTGACTTCAGGCAGAGAAATACCTTAGAAAGGTGAAGTAAGAGAGGACGTGGACAAGTAACTGAGTCCCACCAGCATCTTCAGTGTATTTGACAGATGAGAGCAAATTAAGTGTGATTTGTGATTTTGAAATGCAGTAATAAAAGTAGCTCCGTTGGGTTATTGAGAGGAAGGACTGTACTATTAAAAACACAAAATGCTTCAAATGCACTGTCCTGGTCAGTCTTTAAAATGCCATTTGGCAAACCAGTGAAGAGAAAGACCTGAAATTAGGATGAGAGCGTTGGCTTTTCTTTCCTCTTGCCTAAGTGCTGTCTGAGTTTGACTAACTTGTGTGTCTTCTCTTCCTTCCGAAAATGGACAAAGTTCAAATGGAAGCCAAAGCCTTTCCCAACAGGGTCCCCCAGGGAGCCCCAGACCCAGACCTGGCAGGACCAGCAAAGGCTGCATCCCTGCTCTCCAGGCCTCACCTGGCCCCTTCAGTGCCAGGTCCTGTCGCTTCACACAGCAGATGTCAGTCATTTCACAAACACCGTATAGCAAACAAGCATGAGGGTGTCCTGGCCCTGGATTTCCACACCCAGGGTTTTGTGTCTTTAACACACACACGAGCCCCGAAACTGACCTTGTCTTCTTTGTCCCCAGCCCGGCTCTTCTTCTGGGCCCGCAGCATCAGGGCAGGTGGGCGGGCCACTCGGCCCCGCTCTGTCCTTGTATCTGTTGGGCCAAAGAAGCTGTCGTTAACATTTCATTTGTCACAGTAGTTTGGAAAACCTAAGCAATCAAAGACAAAATGTGGCCCTGAAGATTTGAATTGATCGGTAGACCCTGTGCATTCCACAGGAAAGTGACATTGCCCTGTCCTTGGGTTGAAGTCTAGTGACAAAGTTCTCATCCCAAAGTGAGGATGCACCTGATGATGGGTTTGCAGGGGCCAGAGGCCTGGGCACACACATGCACCCCTGGACTCCCTGGCCCAACCTCCTGGCATCCCTCTCCTGTGCCTGTGTGTGCAGGCAGTGTGCACTCCGTCCTGGACTCAGGCAGCGTCCACTCCACCCTGGACTCAGGCAG